TTTGGTTAGCCACCCATATGTCTATGCGACAGTCAGGTTGTGTTCTTGCCGACCTTTGAATTTTTTGATTTCTTAGCGACTTAATAAGGATTCACAAAGTTCACTGTTAAATTTTGACATCTTATCGTAAGGTAACGCATTCCTTACTCGATTGATTACACGTAAATACAATGACCAGAAGACGAAAAAAAAAAAAAAAAAGACAAGAAACATTTCCAGCAAAGCCAGTAAACGAAGTAATTTGTTTTAAAAATGTTCAAAAAAAACTGACATCTGCTTGGTGTTATAAATAAAATATATTTATATGAGAAGCAAATAAAAAACTTACACATACTTATATACTGAGATACTCATTTTAGAACTGATTTCTTTTGACAATTTATATAAAATTTATTACAAAGTGTATACCAGCACGTGCTGCTTGGTTCTCAATCAAATTCATTGGCTTTTTTTTTGTCCCCATAATTAGCAAAGAAAACGCTTTTACTTATTTTTTTAAATTTTTAATTAAATTTTCATCAATTTTAAGAAACAAATGTTTGTTCTTGCTATAAATTTTAATTAAAACAAGAACATTGTAGTCGAACAAGGCCGACAAACTTAGTCACTCTACATCACTTCGTCTAATAAAATTCTTTACTAAAATACAAGTCTGCCTTGTATTCCATCTAAACGCATTATTTTTGTGAAAGCGCTTATATGGAAGGGAACCTAGAAACTAAGCGAAACATAGTGCTACGTGGATGATTTGACAAATAAGCGTCTATATTAGTATTTGGAAAACAAAAGCCACTGCCGACATTGCGTCGGTGTTCAATCCATCAGTATAGATGGGTGAAGAATGCTTCTATTTAGTATTCAACAAATTGGAGTAGTAATGATGCGCTTCTGCTGGCGTAACTGTGTGCTACAGATTTTCTCTCTGATCACAACTTAATTGCTGCCCGAAAATATTGAGAACCCGAAGAAGTCTTGAGTAAGCTATGTACTTCAGCTCTTGCAATGTTGAAATTATTAATTTTGATTACAATTTATGCGGAAAACCGGATTTTATTGTATTGTTTTGAAAGCAACAAAGTCATCGTCATCGAAGTCAGTGTAGCATGCAAAAAAAATAGTCAAAATTACATAAAATTTCGACAGCCGTCCTTTGAGGGTTGATGATCTTTCCTAAATAAAGATTGGTTTCTTTGCTAAATACTACGTCTGTACATCGGTCTTTTTGCTTATTGCAAATTTTCATTTATTTGTACAAAGTGCAAAAATTAATCCAAATTTTCATTGCTATACACTTAATTAATTTGTATAGATCAAGTCGAGAAATTGGATATAAAAAGCTATAACTATCTTGGAAAAGGAACAAACAGCAGAACATCTGAGAACATTTGCATCGGTAACTCATACTAACTTGCAATAAATGCAATGTCAAAATCAATCATAACACCGCAAAGTGCTCGTCAGCGTGAAATGCTTTCAATTAATAAGAACCTAAGGATTTTCATATAGTTACTTGAAGTGAAAAGTAGTCAGGATATAGTTCTCCTATTCGTTGGTTATTAGAAAAGAAACTTTTTCATTCACAATTGCTTGCTTTGCAAATTTCTTATGGTTAATGAAGTACATGATAAGACTTCACTTTCATTAAATTGCACATATTAACGTTTGAAAGCACTTGCTCTACACCAGCGTTTCTCAAAGAAAGTCAATTATACAGTTTTGAGAGTTACACTAATAGCTGAGCAACGTCACACAAACATCACAAATCAGAAAGCATTTTATTCATTTTTTGCTTGAGGATTGTGTGACTTAACGAGTTTCTCTTTTATAACAAAATTGGCATTGTCGCATTGGCAATGCGACTATTTCTTCGAACTCCCAAAAAAAGTGAGACAAATTTAAAAAAAACCATGAGAAGAAAACACGCCGGTCACAACGTACCCTTAACTGTTGCTTTAAACCACGAATTCACATTAATCTGATGAAACTCTTATATCCGTAGCCTTGCCTTCAAGGATGTTTTTTTTTTTACCCATCGTTACTATAAGGTAAAAAACTTATGGTTACCTCTATACAAAGTTCATTCGTTCCATCGATACATTTATCGGGTCTTACTTCCAAAATATTTATATTCAAAGCCTCATAGTTATGATTTATTGCTGATTCTATTAAATCACTTTTTTTACGCGGATAACTTTTTAGTATGCAGTGGAAGTTCTTCTTTGCAAACCTAAACGATGTCTGCAAACTTTAAGCCCGATGTCTACCGACTTCAAATGATCATCAATGGGCAAATCATGCTATTGGGTCCTTTGTGACGGAAGGATTCTGTATCAGTTAACTTAAGAGCTAAGTGTGAACTAACCTCACCTAATCTAATCATAGTATCTGACTTCTATTTCGCTTTTTGGACAACGAGATCAATGCTATAGAAAGTCCACATAATATTTTAAACCTCTTTCTCATTTTAATCTTTATGAAATAACCTTTCAATAAATTATTTTGGAATACAATTAAATTAATTTATGGATCAAATTAAACTACCTTCAACTACAAATATATACAACATTAAGATATTCAATCGATTCATTTTAACCGGAACGCTATTCAGCCATTAGTTATCACCCGGCTTAGATGTGATCCAAATTCTTAGTTACCGTAACTGCTATGGAATATGAAAATAATGATTGAGTACCTCTGACGTATACAATGGTTATTGTATACAGAATTGTGTGGAAAGTAAACTGAAATGCCCCGCTTTAAGTTAATTGTTGTGCGGTGAAGTCTTTATGGAAATATGAAAAAGGGGATAAAAATAGAGAAAACGATAAACTACTTACATATACCTAGAATAAAATCAATAAAGCTTACTTAAAAAAGTATGATTTACATAGAATAGAAATAACAAATAAAATAAAAAAAGGATATATATATATACATACTCAACAAGATAAATAAATTTTGGATAACTATCATGCATGTTTTCAAGCTAATTTCTAGCGCAAATCGCAATAAGTATCATGCGATTTTCTCTTATGACGATTGCCTTTAGACTTCTCATGAAAAGTTCTTTTGCTTCCTTCAATGCCTGCAATTACTGTGCACGGCTACCGTTTGAACCGTCAGTATAACGGACTAAGATTACGGACAAAATTTCAAGGTGACGTTTCGTCCTTGTGTGCAGGAAGAAGAACTTTTTTGAATATCCGAAAAATATCAAGTCAATAATAGAGATCAAGAGCAAGTTGAACAATACCATATTTTCTGTATCGGAATTCTCTCTCCACAAGGACAGATGAATAGGTTACCTGTAAAGGAAAGTGTATAAACTTTTTGAAATCGCTTGGCCTTTGACGTCTGATAATCCTTTATATCCTGGTATGAGAAATAAAAGATTTTTTTTAAAATTTATTTAATTCAAATTAAAGGGCAAAGGCTAAAGGCCACACTACTTCTTTCTATAATAAAATTTCGTGGCAGAGATGCAACGTTTACTTAGTAAGTAATTTGATTAAGACAAAAATTCCCGATTTGAGAGATGAAATGAACTTGATAAGGGGTATATGCAGATTTAATAAATGGGAGAAGTCATACATAATGCGAAAGCAGCATATATGGACCTACTTCATGACTTTTCCTACAAGCCAACATTCATCTAATTTAATGGATAATAATATCTTTTCGATATATAGAAAATACTTAAAAGCGCTAAAGAATGCTGTAAAATCTGTATTTATGTGAACAATCATTAAGTGATTTATTCAAAAAAAAGAAAAATTACAATATCATAGGACCACTCCTGAGCGCACTTTGAATATGAAAACCGACATATTTACTTATATACTTAATAAAAGTCGTAAAGAGAAAAGTTTCATAATTCAAAAACATGCAGCAATCTAATCCTTAAAAAAAGTTTCAGTAAATTGTGAAGACATTTTCTAAAAAAGAAAACAAAGACTCATGGCGAGGAAAGACTACTGAAGCTACAGCAGCAACAAATTAAAAAATCTCACACAGAGTTTTTCATCTTTCAAAAAATTTTTAATAAAATTCATTTTCCTTACGCATGGCGTTTTTTTTTTTTTAAGGATCATACATACACAAATGTATGTAGGGAGAAGACAAAATCAAAATTAGTCAAAAGTTTTCTTAAGCTAAGATAAACGAAGAGGAGAACTTAGAACATATATATATATATATATATATATATAGACTACTATTAGAGAAAAGGAAAACAGTTCAAGGGCATTGTTGTTCCACCCAAAATTCAAAGGCATTTTTCTTAAGCCTTCAATGACGTTCATCAAACCGATTATTTGTCATCTTGATTGATAATTTTGATATTGATATTTGTTTAGGAAAACCCTTACGATATCACCATAACGCTTCTGAAATTTCTGAGCGAAAAATTGGCGACTCTTTTAAAGTCTGTGAACGGCGAAACTAATCGTAGTCAGACGAGGCAAAGACCGAGCTACACGGTAGAGACATTAAAATTTCCCCGTTAAGCTCTCGTCATTTTAAACGAGTCTTTACAGATGCGAGTGGCATGGCATTGTCTTGACGCAAGCCAATGACTTCCCAATTAATCAATTCAATTGCCTCAACAACGCGCGGTAATGGCATTAGCTAGTAGTAGTGTCATGATTAACATTTCCTTTCCAATAGCATTCATATAAAGAGAGGCATCAATCCTCTAGAATTTTATTAAAAATGTAATCAAATTATTGCGAAAATTTGCTAAGGATCGTAAGCATCTTGAAGTATCAATGAATTGACTTTCAAAAGATAAATGAGAATGTAACGATCTTTTGAAAGGACTTTACCATCACTTGTTGAAGTATCATTCGATGGAAAGTTCAGAAAATTTACACCATCGTCGTAGCTAATAATTGGTTCCATATATCGGAAGATACTATGAATATACTAATATACATATGTATATATACAAAAAAAAAGATAACTAATTTGTATTGTGTTTGTCTTTTTGCCTCTCTTTGCAGGTTAAAATTCAGTTTGCTAAATGTCTTCGGAAAAGTTCATAAAAATTGAAGCCTTAACTTCTGAGAAGATCGTCCTTTAAAGGCGACGGTGGTTGGTTGGGCTTTTCATAAACATTTCTATTCTGTTTCATCGCCATCATTGCAACTGTCATCAGCATGGATCATGCAGTGAAAGCTACACGTGGTCGTCCTTGGAATACTTTACGTTTCGAAAATGATGAACTGGAATGTTTATATCAACGTTATACACTGAAAATGCAACGGTTTTCGGTGCTGGGTGTTATCGCTTTAGTTCTTGTATTATGCGGTGTTATGGCTACTTTATCATTTATTTATAATAATGCTCCCACTTTCCATGTAAGTTGAAATATACTTGGCACCCAACATACATACATAATCAATGAATACGAATAATCCTCACTACGGGTTAAATGAAAAGGTTTTGTGTGAGAAACAAGACTAGAAGCGAAAAAGACAAAATTTCTTACATCAAACGGTCTGAATAGTTTTGGACTTTTTCATAATGTGTAAGATATTTTGGCCCTTTTTTAACAGGTAGTAGTTTCATAAAAAGCGTTGCAAAGCTTCCGCACGCAAACAAGGCAAAGCGCTCTAAAACAACCCCAATACATTTTTTATTACATTTCCATGGAGGCAGAAATACTACCTGAGTCTGTAAAAGAGAAAAAATTTCTACCGGTTATGGGCATTAAAGCAATAGTAAAAGATTCCAAGACTATTCCAGGCTTAGGATACTCCTCGCTATGCGCGAGCAATTACAGAACAAGTCACTCAGGCAAAGCACGAGCTAGTAATGTCGTAATATTCTTAGGGCGCATTAAACCATTTAAAGAAACGTATCCAGAAAAAGCTTCGATCTCCATGTATCCAATGATGTGATTCAGAAGAATTTAGTAGGTGTAGCTAATACTCGCGAACTCCTGTTAAGAATGACTACAACGAACCAAAACCATAACCATTTACAGCGAACGAGAGAAAATGATGAAAAAGAGAAAACGTACGACCGAAAAATGCTGCGATCGGAGCGCGAGGCTCTAAGCAATGCCTCAAAATATTATTCTGTGCTTTTGTGGAGGTTAGGAAAAGCATCGCGCATCACAAGCTCGTCAGCCAGAGATGGTGCTGTCGCTCAGTGCCCCCCTTTAGGGACAATTCGAGAATCAATTAGCATTTATTTCGTGCTCTGCAGAGCACTCGACCTGATATCTTACTGACTCGAATTTTGAAAGGATCATTGAAGGCCACAGTGGCTCAACGTTAGAACATTCCCCAAACGTTTTTTTTTAATTGTATTTTTTTAATTTTCTATTACATCATTTTTAAATAAACATATACTTGTGTACTTTTTTTAGCGGAGTTTCGCTTTATATCTAATAACCAAGATTTTAATAATATAAAAACTCTTCTCTTAATCATTAAATAAATTCCTAACTAAAATTTTTATTTTTCTCGTCTCATATATAGAACGTTTTCAACTCGTTTGTTTGTTTATTATTCGCCATAATCCTTATACTTTTACAATGTCGCGTTATCAAGGATCATCATTTACCTTGTTTATGTTATGGTATTCTACTATTTGCCGCTGCCATCTGTGTCGTATCGATGCCAACAATGGGTTCGATTTTTCCCGTAGACACAAAAGACGTAAGTTGAAAACATATCACATTCAAATAAAAGGATACTTTTTCGCATATGCTATCGGAATATTGGATAAGAATCACAAGTTCAGCGTTCAAAAGCACGCAGTCGAAATTACAATCCTCTGCATGCCTCCTCCTGCTTGTTATTATAAATTTCACTTTACCCCGACACATATCGCAAAGGAAAGAAATAATATATGTATTCTTGTTTAATCTTGAATGCTTGACTCCTGCAGCAGTTTCAAGTCAAAGTAATCAGTAATTTTTTTTTTTTTTCGACAGACTAAGGATTTTGCATAATTTGTGGCGTTTGCTGGCAGTTATCTTTCTCACTCTCGCTCTCTAAGGCTAACTTTAAAAGTAGCCAATGCTTTTAACTGTCTCCATTAACATAGGCGACCTATTTTTGATCTCTACTAGAGATTCCATTAATGTGTCTTAAACTTCGCGAGAGCGGGATACGCATAAACTGTCAAGTGTTATTGCACTTATGTTAATATTTCGAACTTTAGTAATTTTACACATAATAGGCCATATGGCCCCGAGGCTTCTCGAAGAGGTTACCGTTTAATGCCTGAAAGTAAAACTTGGAAGCAAATCGAGGGGAACATGATCCCCGCACGCTACAAATTTAATCATTTCCATAAAAGAAATATAATTTATAACGTTTTAAATATTAAGTGTATAAATAAATTTTTCACATTGGGAAATCGAATGCTTCGTAAGCCGTACGTGCCGAGATTATTTTTTCGGAAATTTTGAATATAGATAAGTTGGACATTGGCGCTTATGCGGTATAAGTTTCGGTTTCATTAGCATGGGTCGAATATATAATAAGTTATGAAAGCGTCATATAAGGCCCTACCTTCGAAACTCATTATATGGATAGCTGTTCAATGGTGGGCCGTGGCTCTGTATAGTGTTTCTATTAGTTTTGTTTTGTTTCCGTGATTGCTCGATACTATTCTACGCTAAGAAATTTAAAAAATATTTGCCTTTTAACTAAGCCCGTTAGAAGAAAACATTAACTACTTACCCATAGTTAGGAGAGAACAAACTTGAGTTCCATAACAAACTTTCATATATTTCTTACACAAAACAATGAATAGAACACTCTCAGATTATTAAAGGAAACTTTTAGTTAAGAGGGATTGTATGGACCAAAAATGACTCCTAAGTGCCTCTGAACAAAATTCGATAAGTTTTGTAATCAAAATAATTTTATTAAAGAAAAAAAATATATATATATGGCAATTAAAATATAATATTTTTGATATAAATGATATTTATTATTTTAATAATACTTGTATTCATATATAAATTTACAAATATTTCATTTTTCAATTTTAAGGAAGATTCCCAGGTAAAGCTTATTAGTGATGAAAAGAGTAGAGTAATGTAGAATACACTTAATGTTAATACAATTAATTACATTCAAGCATTTAATATCAGTTCAATTACGTGAATTGTAGAAATTCTGCATTTCATTGTATAATAAAAAAAAGAAAAAAATTAAAATAAAAATAAAACAAGTAAAAATATTATATTCGGTCGCGACTGAATCTTCGATATCCATCACCTACATTTTCATCCTCTAGAATATTGAGTGTACATGTTGTACTTTATCAGTAACACGCAAAGGAACACGGAAAGCAAAAGAGTTCACGGCTTTTTTTACATAGGCTTGTGGGTGTGTTGTAGGCAACAACAATTTTTTTTGCGAACGGGAAAATGCTTACCACAAATACTACACGGCTGCGTAGATGAGCAGATGGGCAAACGAACGGACGGACATGCTTAGGTGCATTTCGAATTTGAAACTGGCCTTGTGACGCACTATAAAATTAAGTAGGCCTGATCGATTTTTTTCAGTTTCCTGGCAGACTAGAAACTTGAGCAAAAAAGCAATTTTTCATTTCTTTTGAAAAAGAGAGGTGGCCTCAGTTTACGTAGTACTCTAAGCTTGTCCTCCGACTGATTTTGTCCAGTTTCAATACGACTCAGTGTGACAGCGTCCTTTTGAAGACCAACAGAATGTTTGCAATAGACATTATACAGACGGACAGACACCCAGACCGGCAGACGAACATGCTTCAATTGATTCAAATGTTAATGTTGAACAAGAATGCAGTTACTTTGCGGTGTGCCTAAAGGTCCCTTCTGGGCGTTGCAAACAGTTCGACAAAATGAGCATAACCCCCCTACTATGGTGACGGGTATAAAAATATAATACAAAAAAGTAAAAATACATTCGCGCCTTAACGCGAATTGCGGATACTTGCCATCTCAAATCTCTTCCTATTCAACTTTTGAGTAATCGCAATAAATGGCTAGACCAAATCAATATCTGCCATGTATCTCAGGCATTAAGGTGGTGTAAGCAATTTTTTACGATCTCTCCTGATACTGAATTTTTCAAATAATTATAAAACATAAATATCGCAAAGCATATGCTTAAATCAAGTCGGCATCAGTGCTGGCCGAGATCATTTTTCCATCGAACTTTAAAAGAATTTAAAAAAAAAATTTATAAAAAATTTCAAATCAACAGCTATGCTCATTATGTTCTTCCATCGTTTGTGCATCATAATCATACTCCAACTAAACTTGAACTTTCAAGTTTCAGTTCTCGATCTCAGTCGAGTTCAGTTTACGGCAGGAGTAGGAGTTTCAATATCAGAAGTATAGACAGACATGATATCTAAATACATATGGGACCTCGAGTCGATCGTGAATACATACATTAATATGGTGTGCAATGCATATGCCTTAGTGTTGCAAATCGACTAACAAAACCTTTACATTGCTCTTGTTCGATGGCGGATATAAAAACAGTTATAACTTTCAAGATTTAATCTAATTATCACATCTTTAGTCATTTGTGTGTGACGAACAAGTAAATTCCATTAGTAAATTCCATTAGTGTGTGTTGTGCGATCTAGACCTGGTGGCAGGTTGTTGTTGTTGCTGTTGTTGTGGTATGCTCACAACATGCTTGCTCTGCAATTTACCTGTGCCTTTGAGGGTATAAGAAATTTCCATACATTATTTTACCCACTGGCAGTTTGGCATTTAAAAGCAAATCTCATCTCCCACACTTATCACACTATATTATAATGACGATGTAGCGATATCATAATGAATGCATGTGAACAAATTTGTTATTTTAATTAAGTTGATCTTGTTCGCCGTTTTTATTTTTTCCTCTTTCTTCTTCGCAGAAATCAAAATTATACAAAGACTAAAATCGTAACAAGTAAAAAAAAAAAATAAATAATAATAATAACTAGACTTGATTTAGGCGAATCTTAGATACTCACCACCTACAACAGATACCACTCCGGTTAATTGCGAATTGTAGCAATTGGCCAGCGTAACGATTGGAGTCGTTTATGAACAGAATAATCATTCGGGTTTCATTAATATTTTGCTCGAATTATAAACATTAAATTAATGTAATTCAACGCAGATCCACTTTGGAGAATAGTCCGAACTCTGTAGTCGGAAGTCGTCTGGTAAAAATGAAAGCGTCTGAATCCGAACAGAAATGAAAAGATCAAACCAAACGGGAAGCATCACGTAATTCATTTCGCAATGTCGTACATGTTGAAGACGGTTTGTCAAGATCGTTAAGAAGACGGAATTCAATTATATAGTGTGCGAGCATATCAGATAGCAAAAGTACAAGAGTCTAAGCTAATCTTGATAATTTCATAATGAGATGGTTGCACGATATGTTGCAGGATATATGCCTCATGGCTTACTGCCATTAATTGCAAACCTTATTTCCGACCTTACCTAGAGGCCGCAACATGGGTTACGTTCTCTGCTTTTCTGGCAGCAAATGATTTATATGTCGATTGTTAAAGAATATATTTAGCAATAAATTGGGTTAGGTAAGATGGGTATGTTCGCGGGCGAATTATAAGCCAGTAATAAAAAGCCAGACTTTTCTGTCTATTTCCGAATTCGAATATTTCGATTGATGCAAAGTTAATGTCAAAATTAATATACAAAATTATATCAGCGGCGGTGCTGGTGGTGGTGGTGGTGGGTATAAACAATAATTATGTAAATTACTTGGTTATATAATATAATATGACTTCGCTTTCCTTTTGTGCAGGTCATGGCCGAAGGTGTTTGGCAGATTGTTTTCGTAGTTTTTCTAGCGTACGCTATGATGCCCTTACAAATATGGGAAGCAGTCTGCTTTGGCATAATTTTACCTTTAGTTCATATTAGTTTAACTGTATACAAAATATTCACCAATTCATTTCGTTATTTGGAGTACAATCAGGTAACGTATAGAGTGTAATTAAAAATTATAAAATAAATTATAATATCTATCCGACACACGACAACACATAAAGTAGTAAAATGTTTTCCACGCACACGGTTACTGTTAGTATTAAAAAAAAAAAAAAAAATTCATAAACAAACTGACTCTTATTTTTTTTCGCTCTTTCCATTCCATGGATTAGCTTATTGCCAATATTGTAATGTTTATTGGTGTCAATGTGGCTGGTCTTGTGGTTAATATAATGATGGAACGTGCTCAGCGCCGTGCCTTCTTGGATACGCGCAACTGTATAGCAGCGCGTTTAGAGATCCAAGATGAAAATGAAAAATTGGAAAGGCTACTGTTATCGGTACTACCTCAGCATGTGGCAATGCAAATGAAAAACGATATACTCTCACCAGTGGCTGGTCAATTTCATCGTATTTATATACAAAAACATGAAAATGTCAGGTAAAATACATATTAAGTAGAGAAAATTTTAATAATTTTTTAATCAAATTTTTATTGTATGGATTTTTAATTCAATAGAATAGAAAAATATCTGAGTGGATTTTATTAAAATAATAATCGTTTTCAACGATGCATTGCACGGTTTCGTTCGCCCAAATAACGAAACAAGTGTATATCCTTATCCCGCTTTGTCGTTGTATTAAAACTGCTCTTGTCCCTAGCTAAACTCAAACCATCAAACTTACTTATTATACATATATACGTGTGTATATTATTGAAATTGAAAAGTTTGCTGAAATAGTATTGTCAAGTTGAAGCATTTCGTTCCCCGCATTGTAACACTGACGGTTTCATACTCAACTAACTTGAACTTCAACCCCTTGCTTATTGTTAAACGCACGAGCGGAATAGGTTTCCGTTGTGCCCGAATTCTTTGATAGCTTAAAAACCGATCAATTTATATTCGATCGTTAATAGGTTTATTCTTAGAACTCGGTGAGGTTGTCTGCTTACAGGCCAGTTTCATTTACCTTCTCTTACAGGCAAGCAGTAAACACTATTTCAACTCGCGTACCCTTAATCACTTTGGATATCCATGATGTTAATAATATCTGCAATCGAGACTAGGGGCATAACTGCTACTACTAAGTAGAGCAACAGTGGTGTCTATGAGAAAGTACGGCTCTCAAAAATGAAGTAACGTTACGCACGAGCGGCTTCATAATTATATATAAGCAATATTTGATAAGCTCGGGATTGAGTTTGAAAGTACTTAACACACTCTAAATCTAGTCCAAGCATTTTCAACGAAATCTGCTTAGGATTAGTTTATAGAGTTATTTCACTGATATGTAATTAACTTTAGCATTCTTGACACCAGGCCCTCTTAATAGCTGGTTGGCTTGTCACTTTTCCTTAAGGAAAAGATGAGTAGCGGATCCCTGCAAATCATATCCTACTAACGTACCATAATAAAGGGAATTTCAAAAAGCACTATAAAATTCGTGGTTTGATAGGTGCTTGACAATAAAGGCAACAAAAAGTGGGGAAAATGTTTTTTTTTGCAATTTATTCTTCAACTTTTTAGCCGACATTGCTAACATCATTTAGCTAAAATGCGATGTTAAGTTCAACACGGAATTGTTCTAGAGCGCCTTAATCCGCTTGACATTAAATCATCCATAGAAAGTAAAGCAAGTTCTTTGAGCGGCTGTTTTTAAATGAACGCAAAAGCCAGAGTAACTTCAAATCTGTTCTGTCCTGTTAAGAGGAATATCTGTAAATGAGAAGAATTAATAAACACATTTTTCCGTATGACGGTCGAGATAAATATTAAGACCTTTTCTAATTATAAATAAATATTTCTTTACTCATTTCTACGCAATTAACTAATTTTTTGTGATGTTTAGCTTAAAACAGAATTGTTTATGGTTTGACGTAAATAATTTAATGTTCTGGCTTCTGGTTTTCAGTCATTGTGACATACGCATACATGCAAATCTTGGTTTTTAAAAAAAAAAATTCATTTATTGCTAATTGAAAAATTTTACATGAATTTTTGAAAAATTTGCCGAGAAACAATTAAATTTTGTGATTTCAAAAGCTATACAGTCAGCCATGTGGTAAATTTTTTGGAACTTATTTAAGTTAATTATGCGGAAATTGTTAAGATGTCGGAGAATGAAAATCTTTAAATGCAAACGAAGTCTGAGTGCTATACGCGCCTTTAAACAACAACATGCAACATGTACATGCATTTATTAAGACGACCATCATTGTATTAATATGAGTATCCCATGAAGCGCGTTAACATTTTCACTTCAGAAATTCACTTTCCTTAAAGTATACTTCTTAGGCTATTCTTCGTTCGTTTCTTCATATGCGGCTTGAAGGAATAGAAGGCTTGAAACACTGGACTTGCAATACCAGCACCATTCATGTGACCTGAAGCACATAAGTAAAACACACGAATAAAGATTTAAGCTGTTTATCGTAAAACTTGCTTTTTCTTCAATGCCTCGACTTCCATTTTCGACTATCGTTTACTCGATTCAAAGCATTTTACACGAACCGATGATTTGCTAAATTTTTTTCAAAACTTTAGATCCTTCGGGACAACATCATTGCAAAATCTTATGAATGGATTTATCGGAACTAGAACTCAAATTACAACTCGTAGCAATTAAGAAGAAAACTAAAAAAAATTAATAATGTATTCAGCATCCTTTTAATCCTTATTTAATAATATTTATTGACTAAATTCTAATTAATTATACTTTTAGTCCGTTAGTCATTCCTTCATATATTGTTAGTTAAATGAAATTTTGTCTTAGATTTATTTGAAAATTCCTAGTACTTTTCTGACGCTGTTACCAACACACTAACACCCTTCTAACTAGCGCACTATGGTCCGGAATATCAAATTCCCTAGCGAAACGTATTAAACTTTAAAATAATAATGATTTTTGAGCAAAATTTAAATTTATAGCACATTGCTGATCTTTTAAACGAAAATTAAAAAAATTAAAAAAAAAAAATTTTTTTTTTTTTCACAAACTTTTTTTCATTTCAAAACTCATGTTTTAAATTTCAAATATAATATACATAAACTTTTACGCAAATATTAGACTTTTATTGAACACAATTGAAATTTCAATTCAATTGATTATAAAAATTGAAAAAAAAAAAAAGAAATTCTTTTCTCACAAACCGCAAGAAACCACAATTCAAAATAAACTTATCCGAAACTACACACGTTAAGTAAATTTCGATTTTTGCTCTTATGGTTAACAATGTTAAACAAAACGTTTAAGGTTTGGGTAAACTTGGGAAATTAAATAAATTCCAAAAATTTAAAAGACTTGTGGGAAAAATGATTTCTTTTTTATAGCATTTAAGTTCTGCATCGGACAATTTCAACTTTGACGACTTGTCGTATAAAACGGTAAATTGTATGTTGCAACAATATAATTATTTCTCCGCTATCAGATTACAATCATAAAAATAAAATTCTCTTTTGTTCGGTCAGGACAAGCGGTTGGGCAGACCATAGTTCAATGCATCGCAGTGCAGAACAGTCTAAGATTATTCGCCTTTGCGTTCATACTGTTCGTATTTGCAACGGGTAGGAACATCAAAGTTGAAGCTTACAGCTTACTGGCAAAGCGTACAACCTGCCCTCAAGTATACTTGCGTATAAAATTTGAAAGTCTCGAAAAAATCGGCAATGGGTGGTTTGTCTAGCCACTTGTAACCTTTAAAAGAATTCACGAGTGACCTTACATATGAACCTAACATACGAAATCGGAAGAATTTCGATAGAATTCCGCAACTGAGCACACATACCTGTGGTCTGAATGCGGGTACTATCTGCCTACAGACTCGCTTAGAAATGTGAGAAAAACGTTAGCAAAGATTTCACGAGATTCTTGTTAAGGATCCATTAGGTGTGGCAAGGTGTAGACATCAATTTAACATTTTTCACAAATATTTTATATTTTATGCGAAAGTCACGCCCACCTTACACAAACTCTTCTTTCATTCGATTTCTCATGCAAAATATTAAACACAGACTTAGATCTTGTACTTTTAAGTTTAGAAGGATCCACATTGTACGACTGGATCTCCATTCAGGCAATCAGAATTTATATCACATTAGTTGATATGGAAAATTCCTGTTCGAGGTCACCAAAGCTTTCGTTAATTCCTTTTATTATTTCACCTTTCAAAATATAGCATTTAATCACTTTGTTAAAACAAGAATAACTATGGTTGCCTAAAGTAATTCTAAAGGGTTTATAAAATAAATTAAAGCACCAAGGATATCGGGGCGCTCACTCATTAACTTTCATCTCCTTAGGAGAACCTTTTGTATTGGCTCGCTTTAGGGACGTTGTCGCAGGAGTGATACGATGTTGCGTATATCTAGAAAACCTAGATATGAACGGCATTGAGTCTTATCTGCTTCCTCGGGTTTGTCAGGGAGTATTGTGAGAGCTGTGGTCAAACCAAAAGGTGGGATCTATAAGTAATGAAGTGCAGTTAAACCTCAATTAAATTGATTATATATATATGACCCTATTCTTTAAATCGATCTCGTACTTCGGGTGTGGTGGGGACCCTGACACTTACTGCACATTGCTCTGCTTCACATTTATAGATTTTTAATTTTGTTTATATATCATGCTGACGTTAAAAGAGTACGGTCTGTACCCTGTACAGTTTTGCGATAGTAGAAAAGCTTTTAAAATTTAAAATAATTGTTAGCAATACTTTTTGTAGCATGTAAATCATATTTTCGGACGCGAAAGGCATCATACATATGAATTATTTTGAAAAATTTCATTTCGATTAAAAACTTATTTTCTTTCAGTATTTTATTTGCCGATATCGTGGGTTTCACTGTACTCTCGTCTCAGTGTAGTGCTCAAGAATTAGTGAGGCTTTTAAATGAACTTTTTGGAAGATTCGATCAATTGGCTCATGTAAGAAGAAATATTCTAAATATTAAAACTCCCCTAGGAACGGAATCATCATCATGCACATTTGTTTTTGTAATTTCACAGGATAATCACTGTCTGCGCATTAAAATTTTAGGTGATTGCTATTATTGTGTTTCCGGTTTACCAGAGCCACGTAAAGATCATGCTAAATGCACCGTTGAAATGGGTTTAGATATGATTGATGCTATAGCGTAAGTTTAAATGTGTTTCTTTAGGGATTTTTATTTGAGAAAGTTTTCTTTCTTCTACAGATCTGTAGTCGAGGCTACAGATGTTATGTTAAATATGCGTGTGGGTATACATACCGGTCGGGTGTTGTGCGGTGTCTTGGGCTTACGAAAATGGCAATTTGACGTGTGGTCAAATGATGTAACGCTGGCTAATCACATGGAATCCGGCGGAGAACCGGGCAGAGTGCATGTTACTCGTGCCACTTTGGATGCTTTATCGGGCGAATACGAAGTTGAAGCTGGGCACGGTGATCAACGATCTTCTTATTTAAGAGACCATGGTGTCGATACATATTTTATCGTACCCCCTCCTCATCGGCGCAAGGTAAAATAGTTTAATCATTTATTTAGCGATCAGTACGTGGGAATAACAATTTGCTTTTATCGCAAATTTAGCCTTTAATGCTCAATACGTTGGGCGTTAGGTCGGCTATTGGATCACGGCGAAAGCTATCATTTCGAAATGTTTCCAATATGGTTATGCAGTTACTGCATACCATTAAGTTTTCTGAGCCAGTGCCCTTCTCGAATATAGCCACCGGTTCATTCCCCTCATCAGCTGGCGCCAGTGGCACTAGGGCTAATAACAGCGAAGGCGGTGGCGGGCAATTGGAGAAAAGCTCCCGAAAGGTAAATTTTTTGCGCAAACAAAATTAAAAAATTTTTGTAAATTGACTGTAAAATGACTCAAGTTGTTCTTCAACTTTCATGATTTTAGAAACTTTTTATTAGCGTTTGATTTAAATGAAATTATTTGGAATTAAATAAGAGTTAGCTTAATTTGCACGAATTCGTTTGAAAAAATATAATTATATAAATAGATAAGTAGCCAGCCTGTGCTTCTTATTTGTGATTACAAAAAAATAAAAAATAAAAAAAAATAAAAAAAATAAATAAAAATGCTTATATCATTGTTTTATTAGATCTTCTAATTTTTTTTTTTCTTTTCTTTTTTCTTTTTGTAATTAATTTTTAATTTACTTTTATATTGTTTTTATTCTGATTATTTTTTCTATTTTTATAATTTATTTTCAGGATGCGGTGAGTTACGAATTATTTTTCTTATATGATTTATTTTTACTTCCTGTTAATGACTTCTCTTTTGAAAACATAAAATTCTTCAATATTTTTTTTTTTTTTGTTGTTTTTCTTCCTATAGTATTATATCTATATCTGTACTTTTTGTGTATATAAAAAATAAATATATAAAAATAAATATTTTGTAACTAACAGTTTTATAGGTAATTTGGTAAAATTTCAATGTAAATAAAATTATAAAATAACGATCGATCGACGATTAAAATGAACAAACATCAGACAGAGATATAATAGATTAATGAAATCAAACTATCTCCGACATTTTGGCTATATAATTTATTCAAAATTGATTATAAGCCCTCGGTCTTGATGTTGCCACCTCGTAGGGAATACACAAACGCTGAGATTTTGTAAGTCAAAATGCATGCTTATCTCCATCAGCTTTTCCCGATGCTCGTAAACGTTTAAATAACGAATAACAATTATAGTAAAACAATGCCTTATATAAAAATGTACATAACCTTCGAATGATATCCAATTGTGTAAAACAATTGAAGGCTTTTGGAAAATTTATCAACATTTGCTGACAATCATAGATTTTAAAGCGGAATCATTATTACTCCAAGTCATTAGTGGGACGACCGACGCACATATTGCTGTGTCCAAAAAGTAGCACCAATTTCATTGTTTCTTTTTCATTATCATTATTATTATTATTAATTTTACCCAAAGAACAGTATTTGAGACTATAGTCTTACAGCACTACCATCTAAGGCTGTTGGATTTATTAAAAACTCTATCGCACTTGAGATCGCACTTGACGATCATTAAGTTGAGTTAGTCAAGACTCTTTGCTTACTCGGCCACTCAAGCCGAAATATGTTTCGACAACTTATGAAAATAATTTTCAAGCCCAAATAACATTCCTTGCTAGCAGTTTGGCCCGACGGTAGGTATGCCTAGTGCGCCACCACCCCACGATAATCGCGGTTTTTCCCCATTTGGCTCACCTTCTGCAAGATATTCGTTCGATTGATCGGTTGTCTGCGTAGATCCATGTCTCATCCCCCGTAATAATGTGTCGCATGACCGATTGATAGTCAGAAATCAATTCCTCCCACAAATTATAAAAATTGGGAAGAATGCTTTACGCATAAGAGAAGACAAGGCAAACTAACTTGAATATTTTTCTTACTTTTTAATCACAGTATTATGTAAGAATCGATGGAATTTTTTTTCCCCGAGGACCTTTAAAAATACGTTTGAGATATACATATACAAATCATAGAAATGTCCTTAGTTTGCCGATTTCTTTTCTAAATATTGTTTTGAATCGCGGTTTCGAGAGAGACCGCTTGTTCCGCTCCGGTTCATTCTTTGGGCAAAACACAAGATGCCATAATCCTAAAGCTACAAGCACTAAGTCTTGAGAAATGAAAAAGAATTAATTCGATGAGATTAGGTGGGTAAGCATAGCTTGAAGCGTCGTTGAATTTGCCTAACGCTGTGTCCAAACAATAAGTGAAATTTTTATTCTTAAAAACACAAGTCAAACACTTGTTGCTTCTTCTTTTTTTTTTAATTTGGTACAATTGTCAACAGAACACCTGAAATAATCAGCATAGTTGTTAGTTAGTGTTTTATACAATTGTTGGAAATTGTTGTCGATCAATTTTAAAAATTTCTATTTCGATCCATCTTAAACGAATATGAATATATATTCATATGATTATTGGGCTCTTTCTTTACCTAAAGTATAGAGACGGGTCGCATATGCATTTTAGATGATTATTACTCATGCAAAGGATATTTATGATCAATCGTTAGGTTGAAATGCTCTGCTTCTCAAAACTGCTGACTAGTTTTGCAGCAAGACGAGAAGAAGAGAAACAAAAGACAAAATAAATAAAATTCTTCGAAATGATTTCTCAACTGCATCTCGAATATTGAATCGAAGATCGCTGAGTGAGTAAGCTCATTGATGATCTTGGCGGACTTGTGCGGAAACAATTTATTCCTCCAAATAGAATTTAAGGTGCATTCGTTCGCAATTAAAAAATGAGATGAAACTTCCATTTGATTTTAATGACAATTGTAACCATTTGATACGAAAGAAAAAAAGTTTATTCGATTCATTGATATTCGAAGTTTTCGCATGTTTAAAATCAAAATTTCCCATATTTTTTGAACATAGCTGTTACATTTATATATATATATATATATATATATATATGTAGATTATACAGTTCTAGTAAAAATAAATTTTTCTATATTACGTTAAATGTTCGTTACGTCTTTTCAATCTTCAATTATTTAGCTATTGCTTCATGTAAAATTTAAAACAATTTTATATATATTTTAAAAGAGTCAAACTTACTTACTTTCGTAAATATTTAATAGACATGTAAGAGAGCGAGATCTTGTGTTTTTTTTTTTTTTTTTTTTGATAATATTTCTAATTTGTTGGGTTTTTTTTTTTTTTTTTTTTCTTTAATTATTATTATTATTATCGTTACATACATGTATAAATATCTATGTTATGTTTCTTTAGGTAATACGTCTTCAAAAGATTTTACATGCACCTACGACACCACCCGCTGGCGGCGGTGTTACCATAACAGTAGGAACAACTTCTAGCTCAACTGCGAACACGATTAGTCGCATACATAGACTTAACAATAGTAATCAAAGAAATAAAGTGAGAACTGTTAAATGTTTGATTTGATTTGATTTCATTTGAATTGATGATGGATTTCGTTTCTCCTTCACACACAAACACAAAATCCACAAACACACATATACACATACATATATAGATATATATAAATATATATATATATATGAGCATATAGATATATATATATATATATATATATATATATATATATATATAAATATATATATATATATATGTGCATATAGATATATACATATATATACATATATTATTTGGTTTCTCTATGTATTAGTTTTTCGCAAAAATTCTTCGTTTTTTTTTTTGGTTTTTTTTTTTTTTAAGATTTATTTGTTTTCATTTACTTATGCACAATTCGAAAGGAAAACATAACGACTTGTTGTTGTTTTCAGTGTTCATGGAGTTGAGTTTGAAATGAAATATAAAACGGAATTAAAACTTAAAAAAACAAAAAAAGAAAAAAAAAAACGTCTCAATAAATTATAAAAAGAATGATCATGTCATGCATGTAGAATTAAATTTAATACTAAAAACTAACAAATATCATACATGAGTCGTTTATTTTAAAAGTGGCACAAATTCAATTAATTTCAAAATCTATTTACTTAGATTTCTCTTTTTCTTCTTTTTTTTTTTTTGGTTTAAAAGTATTGAGCCTTCATTGATTAAAGCTCAACATGATTTTATTGTTATTGTTGTACATATAACACCTGTTCTGTCGTCATTATTAGAAGTTTGCAAAGTATCATAGGCTCTGTACTCGACCCCTTTGAATATCTCATGGATCAATGAAAATGTGTTTCGTCTGGCATTGGCCGAAAAGTATACGAAATCCTTTCGATTGACAATTGTTGGCAGTAAGTCACGTTTAATTTGCTAAGCATAGCTGCTCTGATGCTTGCCGTACGTATTTAGCTAACCGCGATGTTACTGTGTGTGTGTGTGTGTGTGTGTGTTTCTATACGTTTTGCGGATTTTCATTGGTTTCATTCTGATTTCCTTCACATATTGTTCGCATAGCCTATTATCAACTATTTCAAAATAGGTTCTAATCGGCCCATCTGATATACCAAATAATATATCTGGACATTAGCGTAATGTTTATCACGCCCCGTCCTTTTTTCATAAATTACTGTCGGAAGTTGTCCAGCTTTCATAATTGCTTATCAACAGCATTAGAAGAAGCATTAGAAGAAGAATAGCAAGCGATTTAGGCTTTTTTGATTCGCGAAACGATTTAGTGCTTTTAAGGGATGCGTACGTAAAAGAATTTTAATATTTTTCGCAGATCTATTGAGCAGAAGCACAGGTACAAGGCAAGTGGACTGTTGCGACTGCGATACTTCAAGGCACTAGTTGTAACGCATCACTTATTAATTCCTGTGACTAATACAAAAATTGTCACTATTCTTAGAGGGTTCAATCTTCCAACGATGCCCGTCAAAATTTCATGTCGCTTCAACTATTTGCTTACGAACTGTGATGCTTGTAATGTGCAGCTTGTGTTGTGAACTACGTTCAAATCCAGCATTGGCTTACAAATTGATAAGAATTGTGTTCTACGTCGATGTTGGTGATTTGTTCATACACATCAACTAAGGGTTCACATCGTGAAAAATGAATCTGTGTTAACACTGCATAGTTTCAAAACAAAACTATAGCAGCATTATTTAGCATGTTGGTGGATCGGCAATACACGGGTACTAAAAAAGTAGATACAATGGAGCCTACGAGATCCGATAAACAGATTAGATTATAAATCTCGTTTAGATTTCTACAGAGGACGAGGAGTGTCGCACAATGGAGCCTACGAGATCCGATAAACAGATTAGATTATAAATCTTGTTTAGATTTCTGCAGAGGACGATGAGCTATGTAGTTGAACTTGCATTGACTAAGTTTAGTGATTTAAAACGCAATCCCTTGACGGGTGGATAACGACGATAAACATTTATCAACTGTACCGTGAAAGCAGTGCCTCGGACTCAGACTCTCAGCGAGCATTATGTATTCGCATATCCCAAAAGGATATTGGAGAGAAAAAGATTTGGCTCTATTGATGGACCTGAACCTGATGGCGGAACCTGAAATCTATATTGAAGGTCTTGATAAATCCTTCGATAAAATAGGTGGAGAAGTGTTGGGCTAACCATATTAGCGTTAAACGAGATTTTCTTGATGGATAAAATGAAATTTTGCAAAAACTGTTTTTTTTTTTTTCTTATTTAGTACCGGGAATTGTTGACCGGGACGTATCATTTCATAAGAATAAAAAATTCAATGCCTATTGCAAGTACTTGTAACGTACTTTTCATATACTTCGTCCGGTACATTTAAAGTGAAAAGAGAATATAAAAATGTAACCACAAATACGGACCGCTTGGGTTTATGGTTGAAAAGATTTTGGGCGACTTTCAAAACGAATGACTCATCTAACATAGATAAGGTTATCTGCTCATACACATATATAAAATGTAGTTAGTTAATCCATCTTAGTTTACAGTACATTACATAGGAAATCTGTGTATATTTGTCATTGTTTTCTTTTAGACGAATTTTTCAAAAGCATTTTCATAACTTTGATTATAAATGTATATTGTTTAATGTTTGTTTATATGTTTGTGTTATTGTAACAATATTTATTCCTTTTTTTTTTTTTTTTTTTGGATATAATTGTTATGTTCATATATATGGGCTTAACTGTTATCTCATGCTCACTCAAAACACTGCATCGTACAATAATTCATTTATCAAATATCTATTTGTATCTCTTTCTCTCGTTTCCTCTTTTTCTCCTTCTGTTTTCTGTGCTCTCCGTCTCGCTTTGCCTTTGTTACTATTGCCACATGTCTACACATCAATTAGTCAAAGGTTACCGATAAATTTAAACGGCCCTTTCGCAAACGTCACTCTTCGGTCCATCATCAGCCTACAAATCGTGTTAATCGCTTCCTATCGCAAGCAATTAATGCTCGATCGGTGGATTGTCAAAAATCTGAGCATGTGGATCGTATAACGTTAAGATTTCGCGAAAGCGACAAAGAACGAGAATATCGAAAAGATTTTGATTTGGGATTCACGACAGCGATGGGTTGCTCTTTGCTCCTATTAATATTAGGAGCAGCCTTGCAAGTAACCGCTTTGCCCAGAACATTAATTCTATTATTACTTTTCTTAACCGCGTTTGTGTGGGTTTGCGCCATATTAATGCTATTGTTGGCTGTACGTTTGAAATGGATCGTTTGGGATTTATCGGAAAGTTTTACCCTGCGAATGGCTATAACAATTTTTACGATAGTATTGATCTACTCAGTGGGCCAAGTGAATGTGGTAAGTGTGGTTTATAAAATCAAGTTTATTTGTATATCGTATGTTTGACTTGTATGTAATTTAATCATTACCTTTTTTTTTATGGATCGCCCAGTTTACTTGCATTTCCGATCATCCATGTTCAAGTAATTTTACTGCTGCCGCACCAACGCTTGAAGAAGATTTTCTTATGTTGGGCTACCAAAACGAACTTCATCGGAAATGTTCTTTGCCCCAGTATGTGGCGTTAGCAGCAGCCTTTGCTTTTCTGTCCGTTTCGGTGTTTTTAAGGTAAGTATTTCAAAAAACTTATCTATTCACCACTTGCCGTACATGCATATATTATAAGTTTGTGGGAATGTATGCAACACCCCGAAGAAGTCGAAATATAGTCACCTTTGATTATACCGATCGGTTTCGAATCACTTTCTAAATCAATTTGAGCCCGTCTGTCCATCTGTCTGTCTTGTTTCCTTATGTTCACCCTAAAGGATGGACTTATTGAGACATTTTAACGAACGTTGTTGGAAATGCTTCGATTCGGACCACGTTTTCGGCCACTTGCCATATAACGCCTTATTTTGAAAAACATTGTATGAATAACTGTAGGGTGCTCTCGAGTTGTTAATAGTGGGCCCTGTCAGGCTATAGTGTTTTTACTTTAAATTTTCTCTTGTAAGTGACTTTTAAATATGAAACGGTAACCTAGGCCACGAACTATTATAAAGAAGGAGCAAAGAAAGTTTCAAAAATTGCAGAATGGTGGTCCTCCACTACGACACTGTAAGCCACTACATATAGAAAGCAATAAGCAGCGGCTTTGTCAGCGCACAAAGATCATTCTCCACTTGTGCGGCGATACCTAATGATTTGCTTTAACGCACTGATGTGAAAAAAGGAACTACACGAGCAACGATTTTCGATAAAATAATCAAAAAGAATTCGAAAATTCATATTTTTGAGACATCAGCTTAGAATAGCAATAAAACTGCGTATGTAGTCATCGTAATCTTTCCGATAAGTGAACATGGTATGTATGGTTTGTGCAAAAGTTCAAGTGAACATGTACTTATTGTACTTGTTCTTATGCCATTAAGGCATGCAAGGCGTGTAGCGAAATCGGTTCGAAACTTATTGATTATGAACAGTTTTCAGGAATTCGATATTTTTGCGTTTCATTTAGTCGGTATAGTTTAGGTAACTGTATTGAAAAGGACCTTCTATAAGGGGTGGGCATGATTGATATTAGCTATGGAAAAGGCAAGGAACGTTGCTGCGTTTAAAAAGTTGGGAAAAAAAAAAAAAAAACAAAAATACTCGCGCTTTGCAATATCGTTGCGAATTGCTGTCCTTTGCTTGGGACACGATTGTCAAATTTGCTTATGTCTACTAAGATTGCCTTTACCTATGTTTAGCTAAGTGTATTTAACACAATTTTTTGTTCAGTGTAGCATAATAAATTTTGCTAATTAAGTACATTTTGCATTATTTGAATCTTCTTTGCTATTACTATAGTATGTATATATAGGGCCGAAATTAATTGTGAAAGAAAATCACCAAATTTTGCGTGTCTTGTCGTTTGCGCATAATACAAGCGCATGTTTCAAGTGCAGGAATATCTCTACTTAAGTCCTTAGTTGCTAGCATAGGCAATAATTATGTACCTGTGCCTATGCCTGTTCCTGTGCCTGTGCCATACAGATTACCTAAGGATGAGTTAATTTTTTAAAAATTCTATTGAGAATTAACAATGCCTCCCTATAAACTAGAGCGTGTTGGGTAATTGTTAGAACTTGTTGTCGACGAGAATGAATAAATTAATTAAACAAAATGCATAAGAAACAATGATGAAACAATGATACAATCAAAGCTCTTGGAATGTTGTAAAGCCATTAAAGCAAACTAGGAAAGCAGCTGAAAACGATTTTAATCGCAATAAAAGACAAAAACAAAATCGTTTATTTCTGCGCCCAAATATTAGAGAACTTGTGCATATGATTGATGGAGTATCAATTACCATAATCAATCAATCAATTTTATCAAGTTGCCTACTTTATTGCCTTATCTTGTTCCAAGCCAATCATTGGTGGTGGGCATGAATTCAAGTGATATTGATTTATAGGCGATACCATCAATATGTGATAGCGAATGCGTTTCTGGCGGAATGATCGCCCAATGATCGAATGATTTTGGGAATCAATCAAGCGCAACTGTGTGCGCTCAAATTCCAAGTGGTGTTGGAATCTACTTTTTAGTAAATACTTTCATTCAAATAAATAACTTTCACTTATATCGCCTCAGTTTTAAATTTCATTTACTCTTTCGCAGATTGCCAATCTTGTTTAAATCATTACTTATCATAATGATGGGTGTTATCTACAGTTTATTCATTGAGCTATCGCATACAAATATATTTGATTGCTACGACCGTCGAGTAAAGTAAGTGAAGAGTGAAAAGTTTATATGTAAGTTTCTCACCCGTTAACCTCGTTTGTCTTTGTTTTATTATATACGACAGCGCATCAATTCCACTTCATTTGATTTCATTGGCTCGCATAATTATTTTCATGATTGCCATACTGGTGCACGGTCGATTGGTTGAGTGGACGGCACGTTTGGATTTTCTTTGGCAATTGCAGGCCTCTCAAGAGAAAAAAGAGATGGATGTTTTACAAGAATCGAATAAAAGGATATTGCATAACCTATTGCCGGCTCATGTGGCGGCACACTTTTTAGATAATCAGTTCCGTAGTAATATGGTAATTAATAGTTAAGAGATATTCTCTTATCGAATTTTTTTTTTATATTTTTTTTCAAATAATTTAAGGAATTGTATCATCAAAGTTACGCTAAGGTCGGCGTAATATTTGCCAGTGTACCAAACTTTCACGAATTCTATACTGAAATGGATGGTTCAGATCAAGGCTTGGAATGCTTGCGGTTGCTAAATGAGATAATAGCCGACTTCGATGAAGTGAGTATCTCTTCAAATATCTCCCGTGACAATATGTTTTTCAAGTTAAAAAAATTTCAGTTACTGAAAGAAGATCGCTTTCATGGCATAGATAAAATTAAAACCGTCGGCAGCACATATATGGCTGTGGTGGGCTTAATACCAGGTTAGTTAACCTAATAAGTGATACGGTGAAGTGCTGAAGTGTTGAACTGCGCTTTCTTACAGAGTATAAAATTATTCCAAATGATTCAAATTCATTGAGACGTCATATGACAGCTTTAGTGGAATATGTTAAGGCAATGCGTTTATCTCTTCAAGAGATTAATAGCCATTCATATAATAACTTTATGTTACGAGTAGGTAAGTTGTTTATATGGATGTTTTAAAATTTCTGAAAAACTAAAACTTACATACATATCCTGATAGGTATTAACGTTGGACCTGTAGTTGCTGGAGTTATTGGTGCTAGGAAGCCACAGTATGACATATGGGGAAACACGGTGAATGTGGCTAGTCGCATGGACTCTACTGGTATACCTGGCTATACCCAAGTGACCCAAGAAGTTGTTGACAGCCTGCAAGGATCGCATTTTGAATTCAAGTATTTGAACAAACTTAAACAACATACATGCACATCTATAGAAATAATTGAATCTTTTAAGGTGTCGCGGAACGATTAAAGTGAAAGGCAAAGGAGATATGATTACATATTTTTTGAACGATAATCCTAATAACGTATTAAATTGCGAAATTCGTAATGCGTTCATTGGTGGCAATCGCAACGGTTATGGTCAACCACCTCAAACTCAGTTGACAACACAGTCCCAGTCTAATGGGGACTATTATAGCAAACAAACCCAATACCATCAGGATAATCCCAACTATCAGTTGAATTCAGAGACATTTAATATCAAAAAAGATCACAATTATATGGGCTATAGTGGTAATGGTGAAAATGAAAATAGTCTATTAACAAAACATTCGCCCAATAGTCTCAATGAAGAGCAACAACATTTATTACAACATATGCAACCGCAACATCATCAACATCATTTACAACAGCAACAGCAACAAAGGTTAAATAGTAAATTGCAAAAGCAACCTTTTCACATGGTCAACGGTGGTTTGCCAAATATCAGTGAAAACGGTCAAGACAGTGAAAGCCACAATGGTAATGAACATAAAAATTACGGAGGCTTCGGTAACTATTTACAACATCAAATGGGACAGCAACAGCAACAACAGCAACCACAACAACAACAACAACAGCAGCAGCAACAGCAACATAATCAACAACAACAACAGCAGCAGCAGCAGCAACAACAACAACAACAACAACAACAGCAAACGCAACAAAAACAGCATCAACGTCAAAACTCAACTAGTTCCATGAGCAGTTTAGGCTTACAATCCAATTCAATAGCACATGCACCCGCCGCCCCATCAGCACAAGCACCTACAAATCAAAAACATGTTTTACCCTTACAGTCCAGCGGCCAATCGCCATCATCATTATTAAATGGTGCTGGTGGTGTTGCCGCGACTGCTGCTCACTCCTCATCATCGGTAATGTTGCGTGAACAATTTAATATTATTGAAAATCCTAGCAATAGTAATCGTTATGATTACAATAACTTTCCCACTCATCATCATCACCAACAGCATGATCCTTATGCTTCGTTGGAGAATTTTAATAATCTTATATATGGCCCCGGTCATCATAATACTAAACGTGAGCAATTGCATGTTTCAAATTCGGCGGCGACACGGGCTATCCCTGCCCATCATCAATCGCACAATAAACCCAACAATATCTCATATAATCATAATTACCATCATTTACAACATTCTAATAATTCACAGAATCATCCTAACAACTATCACAATCAACATCAACATCAACATCATCAGCAATATCATCAGCACAATCAACCGTCATCGTCGCTATCGTCGTCGCCGATATTGCCCCATAAAAACTCCAACAACCATTTCAATAATTATAACAATTGCCGAGAAAGCGAGCCATTATTGAATGCGACATCGGTGCGGGCCAAGGTGAGTGTTAATGAAGAAACCGAAAATGTTATAAATGATCGAACAGTAAAAGAAAAAACGCAGGAAAATGACTACGAAAATGAAGCAAATAATCAAGAAATGTACGGTGATTGTCCGTGTACTGAAGAGTACTTATTATGAGCGGGGAATTGAAGCGCAATTAAATAAAAAGAAAAAAAACTCTCTCTAATTAAATCCTTAATTTTAGTGATGCTTATCTTTTCCTAATTCGAAATATGTATTATTTCTCAATATCAAATCTTCTCGACCATTGCCAATCTCTCAAGGGCTAACACCACTGTAACGCCAATAAAAAAAGCACATATCTTGAGAATTCTTCTTCTTCTTCTTTTTTTTCCAAAGAAAGGAACTTAATCGAACGATACTATTCGAGGAAGCTTATCAATATACATTCAAGTATTGAAAAGAGAAACACCATTTTTTAAACCTATTAAAAAATGGCAACACCATAGCCATTGTCCGAGGTATCTTCAACGTAAAGGTCAAACAATTAAGAAAGTTTCTTTCCGAATCTCTCGAACCGCCATTAACTTCCTTAGCGCGCCGTGTTTTTATTTATGGTTACAAAGCCAAGAAAATGGGACAAAATTTATTTTTCACTCTTTAGTTTACTAGAACGTATTGTTAAGAAACATTAATCTACCATGTCGCGATGTCCCTCATAATTAATATTGAATTAACGCACTTAGCTTTTCGCATTCGACTCTCCAAGTCCTGCTATTTGATACCCATAACGATGGTATTATTAAGAAAACATTAATCCGCCACACAAATAGTGGGCGTTTCTGTAAAATGAATGTCGAAAATCTCAGCCTTCCATTTTTCATATTTTATGAGTAATTGACAAGAAATTATAAATTTTTGTTCAGAGAAGTGAAGTTGCGTTCCGTTTATACTTTCCTGCGGACGTGCGCTCCGACCAATTTAGCCCATTTTCAATATTAACTAAGCTGCGTGCAAAAACTTCTAATTTTTCTATCAAATTTCAAGCCAATATCACAGTTAATACAGACGCACAGACGGAGAGATATGGCTTAATCGGTTCAGATTTTATGCTGATCAAAAATATACGCAAATAATGGTTAACTCGAATGAGAAGGATGCACCTCGTTGGAGTTGCGCTATGTGCTCATCCTTTATTATTAAAAAATTTATTGAAATCAATAAAATAAAAAAAAAAGATTGATTCTCTGAAATATTTACAGTGGTTTTCGCCCTTTAACGATCTCAATTCCATCAAGTATAGGAATAGTAAGAAATGTCGTTATTACCAACAGTCCTCATTCTGCATTCGTGTTTAAATGTGCATAACCAACAGTCTTTCTGTATGTATGTCTTTGCATGTATAATAATACTTTTAAGTCATCAAAATCCCTAGAAAATGTTTCTATGTATGCTTTAAATCTCTCTTTATGTGCGTGACGTGATTATCAATATGAAACACACTGAACACTATGACCACACATATTGGGCTGCTTCAATGTATTTGTATGTATACATACAATATGCATACATGTACACGTACATATATGTATATATATATATATATATATATATATATTTATACATATATATACATATATATGTATGTGTGCATGTTCGTGAGTGTGCTAACCTTCTCCATCCCAGATAATACCTATGCAGCATTTGCCAACCGTACAGCATCATACACCTAAATATGAACCACCACGTTATATGTGTCCCAATAACCTCTTACTACAGCAACAGCAACAACAGCGTCAAGAAAGTTACCAACCGTATCACCATCAGCTACAACAATCACCAGCATTACCATCTCATCAACAGTATTCAATGTATTCCCAGCAAGCAACGCCATCTCCACTACCAGTCCTACCACCCAAACCAAATGTCACGGTAGCCACCAAACAAATGAAAACAAACACACCGATCTTGCGTACCTATATGAAGCCTTTACCAAAGCTACCTACGGACTTAGAGGAGAATCGTGAAATGTCTTCCACCGATGATTTAAGTTCAAGACCGCATTCACCTTCGATGAGTTCATCCGATGAAAGTTATTCTAAAACAACGGAAGGTGAGGGAGAAGACGATTCACCGCGCTTAACGGTGGCTAATCATCAGGTTCGCAATAATGGCGCTGTTAATGCTTTACAATGGCTCTATCCCTGCGATATCCAAGTGGATCCCATGTCGCCCGTTGTTGATATATCAAATTTGAAGGATTTCGAGGTTAGTTCCACCACAGAAAGCCAAGGTCAATATACGACGACCACACAAAATAAAGGCGATTCATGTAACAGCTTTGAGTATCAAGGCCGTTTAGATATGGCTCAGAAATCGGGCAATATTAACGCAGCGGCACAACAAACGGCCAATGGTTCATCAAATCAAGCAACCAAATCACCATTTGAGAGGGAATTGCAAAGACTTTTAAATGAATCGTCGAGAGCTCGCGGCCTTGTAACAATTCAAAACTCATTATCGGCAGCCGCAACGGTATCTAGTTCATTGGGTGCGAACATGAATTCAGGATCAGGCAGTAACGGTGATGGAGGTAATACCACCAGCAATAGCAGTAGTCGCAATAACATTGAATTATGCTATTCAGGCAGCAATAGTAAATTAAGTTCAAACGGTTTGAATGTAGCTATCGGTGGCTGTAATGCGACTGGTGGTGGTGGCAGCGGTAGTCTAGCTGGCAGCAATGGTAATCTAAGCAGCAGTACTCCGCTTAGCGGCAACAATAATTTGAAAAATGTTACCATAACTATGGCAGCTACCGTTTTAGATGACTTAAGTTCACCCACTACGAACGGAAGAACGCAAAATTCTAAAATCCCAGTCAGTACAAGTTTTATGATTGCCAAACATCCGGTCGGCCTGGAAGCTATAAAGGAAATAACACGCAATAAAAATCCCTCTGAATCAAGTCAAATGTAAGTAGAATAGAAGAACGAAAAATTTCATTTGCGAGAACGTGAACCGTTCGAATGAAAATAATGTGATGATATTGATTATAGGCAAACTTCTGATACTGAGTCTTGTGAAATTTTGCATGAAACATGCAATCATTTAAATCTTGCTATGATGGACATGACTAATAAATCATCAACCTCTACCAATGGTACAAATTATAATAGCTATTCCCAACAGCAGCAGCAGCAGCAGCAGCAGCAGCAACAGCAACAGCAACAG